CCTCCAATCCCAATGGGTTCCCAGCCACTGGGACCCAAGATGTGTTGCCATTGATCACTGAGCTTAAGCCACCGCCAAAGTTTAAACCAATCTATGTACTATGCATAAGAGAGTAGGGCAGCAGGTAGATTCACTTTAGGGGAAAAATTCATCAAAACTGGTTAAATCTGTGAAAATAAACAAAATGAGTAAGATATTGGAACCCCAAGAAAAATACTTTAAGCCTTGAAAGAGACGTAACTGTCATCTGAGTCACATATGGTTATAGCTTCTGTTCTCAGATGATAGATCAACTTACTTTCTTTTCTCATTTCATACAATGACTAGAGAGAATTAAATGACATCAGGGACAAATGCCTCCTACCTTCTTCTTTAATGACCCTTGTTATAGATTAAGTTCCCGTTTGTTGTCCTTAGATCAGATGACAGAAAACTCATTAAAGACTATTATACCCTTTGTAATAAGAAAGTTAAATGTACCCCTCCCAAAAGAAACACTGCCTATAACCAATCAAATTGCTGTACCTGTGTGCTAACCTTGTCTGCATAATGTTGCAATCCTGCTAAAAAAAAACTCCTTTGTCTCTGCCTGTATAAATGAAATATTGACTTCCCTGCTTCAGAATGCTGACTCCATTCCTTTAGAGTTGGTGTTTCCAGGTGGTCTGCCCTCACGCTTTACACTTGAATAAACTCTCTTTAAATTAGATTTTGACCCTTTTGATAATTTCAGATTGACAAATATTTTTAAGGTAATTTGACCATCACAACTATCAATTTAAAACATTTGACCCAGGGTACAAATGTATTTGTACCAAACACACACACACACAAAATACAGAGGGTACCAGAAAATGTGTATACACATTTTAAGAAAGAATAAAAATATTAAAATTGTAATACTCAAAATATACTGATAACAAGAGATGAATACAAGTCACATTTGACTTCTGCAATTACAAGAGGTGCACAAAGTGGTTACCATCAGTGTCCAGACACTTCTGATTATAGTGAATTAAAAGTAATACATAGATAACATCTCTTTAAATGTATATACATTTGTTTGGCACCCACAGCATATTCATCCAAGATTGTTTATTGTGGCATTGTTTGAAACAGCAAAACACTGGAAGTTACTTAAATGTTCATCAGTAGGAGACTGGCTGAATAAATTCTGGAATATCTACACAATAGAATACTGAACATTTTATAAAGGGAGAGAGAAAATAAAGTAGATCTATTACATACCATTCAGAACATTCTCCAAGAATGTATTTATTTATTTATTTATTTGAGTTGGAGTCTCACTCTGTCACCCACACTGGAGTGCAGTGGCCGCTCCCGGCCACCGCAGCCTCGACCTGCTGGGCTCTGGCGATCTTTCTGCTCAGCCTTCCAAGTAACTGGAACTGCAGGCGCGCGCTACCACGCCCGGTTAATTTTTTGATTTATTATAGAGATGAGGTCTCGCCAAGTTGCCCAGGTGGGTCTCGAACCCACGGGCCCAGGCAATCCACTTACCTCAGCCTCCCAAAGGCGCAGGATTACAGGCTGAGCCACCGAGTCTGGCTCAAGAATGTATTTAAAGAAAAGAAGAAGGAGGAGGAGGAGGAGGAAGAGGAGGAGGAGGAGAAGAAAAGAAATAAGCAATTTGATTTGTATACCTAACCCTGAATCATATCCCACATTTTTAAAATAAAAATAAATAAGCAACTTGAAGGACAGTATGTATAGTGTCGTCTCATCTGGGGGAAAAATTTTTAAGAGAAAAATATATGTACATGTATAAGAAACTTCTGGAAAGATACACAGGACCAAGAGCTACATGGGGAGCAGGTAAAAGAAGCATAAGGAAGAAATACTTTTTACTTTTCACATAACTTTTTGTACCTTTTTAAAATCACGAGCATGTGTTAGTTTTATAATTTAAAGAACAGATATTTTTTATTTCAATAACATATTTGTCCTGAAAGTAAAATTTCAATTCAGAGAAAATTAAGAATTTGAGAATTCAGAAAAATTTTCATAATTTCTATGAAAACTATCAACTCCCCAACAATGCCAGAAAAAAATGAAATATAACTATACAACATTGATAGTGGGTCAGCTTGTCGTGACTCATTCTGACTTCACAAATAGAAATTAAAATGTCTATTCTACCAGTTTAGAAATAGTCAATAAAATGTGTAAAAAACACCCAACACTTGCTGACACTTAATAAGTAAGTGCTCAAAAAATAGTTGCTGTAAACACTCTTGTAATTACTTTCTCTGCTTGGCAATTGTCCCAACCCCACCTCAGCCCTCCCATGTTGCTCAGTCCTGACATTGAGTTGCTAATGCATGACTCAATGATCAGTCTAGGATAGCTATCAGGAGCGGTGGCTCACACCTGTACATACAGTGCTTTGGGAGGCTGAGGCATGGTGGCCGGTGCCTATAGTCCTAGCTTCTCAAGAGACTGAGGGGGGAGAATTACTTGAGTTTGAGGTTACAATGAACTGGGATCATGCCATTGCACTCCAGCCTGAGCGACAAAGTGAGACGCTGTCTCTAAAAAAAATAACAACAAAAACTAGGACGGCTATTGCAAATTGCAAGACCTAAATTCCACCCCAGGTGAATTTCCTTCTAGGCTACAATCAACTTTTGAAAAAGACACCAGTATAGTGCTCAATCACAGAGGAATTTCCTCAAGATAGGCAGAAGGTACCATGACCACACAAAAACAATCCCATTGCAGTGCAGGAAAAGCAGAGACAAATTGTTACAAGTCTCTTAAAAAAAAAAACAAAACTCCCATTGCCTATCAAAGTTCCCATTTCAGAAAAATACTCCTACATATGCATGTATTTCCCCCAAAGATTCCCTACCTTTATCCCCAACAACCCAGTTTGATGAGGAGTAGGAGCTAGATTCCCACACTTCTTGCCTTTTCTATCCTTTTGTGTTCACAGATCTCCTCCCTAAAGTCCCCTGTGCTATCCCAAAAGAAATTATGCTGGGGGCCAAATAACAACCCTGACTGGAAGAAGTGGGGCCTAATGATGTCCACAGAACTCCCAAGTCAAAATTCTCTTTTCCCAGAATCCTTTGCTCTTCAAAGCATGGTCTCCCTTACCTGCCAACTTCAGCCCCTGGGTCTGGCTGTCCACCTTGGAAGGGGCGGTGAAGAGAGGTCAAATATGCTCTGCAGGCCTGTCCCTTTGAACCAAGCCCCGAAAACCCATGTAGTAGTCCTTCACACCCTCCCCCCAGCTCCACATGTAGGTGAAAGGCACTGGGAAGGGTTCCCACAGTGCGTTAGCTCCGAATAGTGAAAGAGGACAAGGAATGTGGTGCTATCCATCCTCTGTCAATAATTCACGAGGCTCAGACTGAAAGGCGCCAGTCAACGAGTCAGTTTACCTCGAACACGGGGGAAATTTAGACTCAAGCTCTCTTATCTCATCTGGATGTGCTGAGAACCAAAACTGAGTACCACAGTTGTAACTTCTTGAATATACTGTAAATCCAGCGCATGTCTGTTACATCTCTTGCTATCCATACACCCCCTTTTGAATGCTGAAATTCTTTTTCAGCTTATTAGTTGACCTACAAATATACTAAATGAATCTTTAAGCAAGTATGAATTCTATTAAACAGTGATCCCTAGAACTGAATTTCTCAGACAAGGATTCATTCCCCTCTGATTGCAGGGCCTAGCATAAGGTTGCCAAACTGGTGATTTCACCAACTAATAGCCTAGCCATCTGCTTTCATCATCCTTACTGAAAGAAAAGACTAATGCCAAAAAAGAGGGAGCAAAAGCATACTCTAGAATAAAGGACTATCTGTTAAGTTAAATAAGCTTAGCTTTATGAAACTTGCTGTCTTGTCTTAACTTTTCTAATTTTGCCTTGAACTAGTGAAAACATTGCTATGGACCAGAACTGCCTCTCAGTCTGGCATTTGAAGGTCACTGGGTTAAACCAATTCAGATGCTTGCACTTGGGTCTGCTGGAGCCTGTCTACAGTGTACCATAAGCTATCCAGATTTATTAATTCTCCCAGAAACCCAGGAGGGAGATCATTTCAGCCCACTTGGCAGAACTGAAAGCTGAAGTCTTGGACAGAATTTATAGCTGGCAAGGACTGCATTCATCATCTACTCCACATCCTCAGTTTACAGATAAAGAGTCTGGCCCAGGGCAGCACTAATAATAAGCATTATTATACTATGTACTTAGTAGTTTACAGTTCATTAAGCATTTCCACATTCAACAACTATTTATAGAAGGATGCTAAGACCTGGGGATGCAGTGATCAGGGAGAACTGTAGTGCTCTGAGTTCTCTGTATTTCCACTACTGCTTGGGGGACCCTCTAGCCTCCTCGCTAGCCCTTAGCCCCTGTAAGAGGGAAGTCTTCTTGGTATTAGAGATCTTGTTCTGTCAGTGGCCAGTCTGCCCTCCAGGCCCGGGAACATGGAGGAGACCTTGAACCAAACTGAAGGGCGGCACCAGGCCTGGTTCAGCTACTCCCCACCGTGTCTTTCTCCGAGGCTCTTCCACCCTCACTTGGTGGACTCCGTGGGGACCACAGGCCTCCCCTCGATGGGCAGTCACAAAGTCTTTGCTGTCCTGTGGGCTGTCACAGACGCAGTGGGTGGCTTTCTTGGAGAAGGAATTCCATCCTGAGGTTTGGGGAAGCAAGCGCAACCAACTCAAAGCTCCCTTCCCCAAGAGAAGACGTGGGCAAGGGAGGAAGAGCAGAGAAGTCTGTGAGCACCTACGGGAGGAGCGGGGAACGGGTACCACAGGAGGCTTGGACGGGGAGCGCTTTCCCTCACCAGGCCAGGCCCGAGGAAGGCAGGTCTGGCCTCCAGGATCGCTGAGGGTGGGGAGTGGCCGCCGCCGTGCGCCGGCAGGGGGCGCCCGCGGCCACAGCCGGCTCCCCGCGCCCGCGCCCAGTGGGAGGGCGGGGGGCGGGGGGCGGAGGGCGGAGAAGCAACCTGTCCCAAGCCTTAGTCCGCTGTACCCTCCCCTGGGCGGAGTGGAGCCCAGTCTTGCTGGTCTGAGGCATGAGGAAGCTGGGGCTACTGCTCAGTCGTTGTGCCGCGGCGTGGAAGTCCGTGCGAATGGCAAGCTCCGGGATGGCCCGCCGGGCCCCGCTCACGAATAAGGTGGCTCTCGTGACGGCCTCCACTGACGGGTGAGTGTCCGGGCCGGAGTCTCTGAGGCCCTCGCTGTCTGGAAACGGGCACTGGCCTCTTGTCCTTGGTCTCCCGGGCCCCTGGCCTCACATCTCACATCCAGCCGAAGTCCGGACTTGGAAAAAAGGAGCCACGTGGTCGGCCCGAAGCCCCTCCGAACCCGCGGGTCCCGGCCCCTCTGCCTGCCACCTCTGCGCTGCCCCATCGATCCGGTCCACCAAGGCTGTGGGCTGCCCCAACCAGCCAGCCCCACCTAGCGTCTGGGAAGACCAGAAACCCGAAAGCCAAGGGAATCTGGGTTTCAAATCCTATCCCTTGCCTTCACCCACGGTGGGAATGTTCGAACCACCCTGTTTAGGTTCCAGACGAGTCTCCCGGAACCCCTGCCCCTTACCTAGACAGGTCACAAGAGCCGTATGTCCAGATTTTTGTCTGGTTCCTTACAGTTTGGCCTACCCTGCCCCGCCTGTTTCTCACCCACCACTCTTGTCTATCCTGTTTCTCGTTCTAACAAGACTTTGCTAGGTGCCAGCACTTCACAAATCGAAAATGCAAATGTATGTAAAATGCTAATGGCTGACAATTGCAAAATGTGTAACCCTGAATCCCAGGGGAATATTTACATGTTTGACCAAAGACCCAACCTTTCACATGTACTTTAAAATGTAACAAACCGGGCTCGGTGACTCAGCCTGTAATCCCAGCACTTTGGGAGGCCGAAGCGGGTGGATTGCCTGAGTCGGTGGGTTCAAGACCAGCCCGGGCAACTTAGTGAGACCTCCTCTCTGCAATAAGTCAAAAATTAGTCGGGCGTGGTAGCGCGCGCCTGTAGTTGTGGCTACTTGGAAGTAGCTGAGGTGGAAGGATTGCTGGAGCCCAGGAGGTCAACACTGGGGTGACCACTGCACTCCAACCTGGGTGACAGAGTGAGACTCCAACTCAAAAAAATAAATAAAAATAAATAAATTAAGTAACCAAGGGTAGAATTCTGAGATTACTAAGGGACATATTTGGGGCAGGAGCTCTTTTGAGTACCACCCTCGAACCATAGAAATGGCTGCTGCAGCACATCCAGCTCATTTCTCCTCCCTCAGTCCCGGTATGATATGGGGGTCTGTACCTGTGTTGAGGCCTGTGGAAGGTAATGTCAGTTCTTGGGAATCAAGGCTAGGAGCCAGGATCATAATAAAAATAAACAAATGAGTGCCAAAAACAAGCTAAGCCTGTCCATCTGCATGGTAATGGCTATACCATTAAGCCTGTTTTACACATAGTAGAGGCATACTGCGGTCGTAGAGAGGAAGAGCTAGAATTCAAACCTGAGCAGTCTGACTCCAGCTTCCATGCTCTCAACCTCATCCCCTACACAGGCCTTGACAGTCTTTTGTCTTGCTGCCCACAGGATCGGCTTCGCCATTGCCAGGCGTCTGGCTCAGGATGGGGCCCACGTGGTCATCAGCAGCCGGAAGCAGCAGAATGTGGACCGAGCAGTGGCCACACTGAAAGGAGAGGGACTGAGTGTGACGGGCACCGTGTGCCATGTAGGGAAGGCCGAGGACCGGGAGCGGCTGGTGGCCACGGTGAGCAGCAGGGACATGGGCGCAGAGCCAGGAGGTGGAAAGGGAGCCAGCCTGAGCCTCCTTCCCTGCTTTCCTAGACAGCATTAGTGGGACCAAACTCAGCACTGTTAACCAAATGTAGCAGTGTGTTCTGCATGCCCACATTAGTCCACCAGTACATTTTTATTGTGTGCCTTTCTGATATGCCTGTGTACTAATATCTAAGAATCATCCCATCCCATGCAGAGAATCAAAAAACACTCTACTGCATCAACGCTGCATCATCTCTTGGGGTACCCCCCAAAAAACACGTGGTGCTGGTTCTCTGGTAGTTTCCAATCTAATTGGACAGATGAGAAGGGTAAATACAATTGCAAAATAAATGTTTTTACCCATGAACTAATAAATTAATCCCTGATTCTTCAGCTTATAGCACCAAGTTCCTGGGAGCCTGCAGGAGGCAGCCCACCATGTTTCGGCCACCTACTGCGTACCATTTACTATGCTGAAAGCCTTGACACAGGTCACCTCTAACTATGACAACAGCCTAAGCAAGGCAGGGACTATTCTTCCTGTTTACAGAGACTGGCTCAGGTAACTGGAGCAACTTCCCAAGTTCCCATAGCCAATAAGGAAAGAATCCCTGATTCAACCCAGACCTACCGAGCTCCCTTCCCTTTTTTGGCTGCCTACACACTACTAAACACTTCCTATTATGATAAAGTCAGGCCTTAGGTACCCATTTGGACTTCAGTCTAAAATAAAGTATCTAAGCCGGTGTCTGAGTCAGTACTTGACATCAGCCTTCCAGCTGTACAAGAAAATATGAACCATTTTGCAAAGGAGGCTTTTCTTCCCTTGAGGCTCAGGACATGCACTTGATTCTCCAGAGTAGAAGAGAGAATCTACTCAAGAATGAAAAGCACAGGATTGTGCTAACATACTGGAAGGTTGGCAAAAATAGTTTGGATAATCTTGGCCAGGCGCGATAGCTCACGCCTATAATCCCAGTACTTTGGGAGGCTGAGGTGAGAGGATTGCCTGAGCCTGCAGGTTCGAGACCAGCCAGGGCAACTTGGAAAGACCTCAACTCTATAATAAATAAACAAAAATTAGCCAGGCATGGTGGTACATGCCTATAGTTCCAGCTACTTGGAAGCCTGAGGCAGAAGGATCGCCTAAACCCAGCAGATCGAGGCTGAGGTGGCCGTGAGTGTGCCACTCCACTCCAGCCTGGGTGACAGAGTGAGACTCCAACTCAAAAAAAGAAAAAGGATCCACTCCAGCCTGGGTGATAGAGTGAGACTCCAACTCAAAAAAAGAAAAATGAAGCTTTGTTATTTGACTGGGCGCAGCAGCTCAAGCCTGTAATCCTAGCACTTTGGGAGGCTGAGGCGAGAGGATTGCCTGAGCTCAGGGGTTTGAGACTAGCCTGGGCAACTTGGTGAAACCTCATCTCTATAATAAATCAAAAACTAAACCGAGCATGGTGGTGTGCACCTATAGTTCTGCTATTTGGAAGGCTGATGCAGAAGGATTGCTTGAGCCCAGCAGGTCAAGGCTGCGGTGGCCGTGAGTGTGCCACTGCACTCTAGCCTGGGCAACGGAGTGAGACTCTGATTTTTTAAAAAATCTTATTAGAAGAGAAGGATCTTAAAACAATAGTAGACAGTGGTATGTAGACTGTATTGGGTGATTCCATTTTTAAGGAACTGATTGGCAAATGCTCAAATGTGCATTGGAAAGAGTCAGTGTGAGTCCAAGAAAGTCACTTTGCCTGGCATAGGCTGCTTGATCTTGAGGGTAGAAGGAGCCATTTGGGAGCCTGGGCCAGTTAGTGACCAGCAGTTGAAATGTACATAGCAATTTAATGTCAAAATCCTACTGAGAAAACGTCCCCTGGCCCCCACCTACTCCACTTAACAGATTGTGCAGCATTGGCCCAGAAGTAGGACTTGAATGGATCTTAAGGAGTGCATGGGAATGGACAGATGGGGTAGGAATGAGGTTCCAGATGACCTTGCAAAAGGAGCAGACTGCCAAGGAGGGACTGACTAGCACTGTCAGTTCACAGCAGAGAACACAGGCTCGGGAGTACTGGTAGAAAATGGGCTAGCATAGGAAAGACAGGGGCCAGGGACCCCCATAGCCTCCCAAAGGAATTTAGACATTCTTGTAAGAATTAAGAAGCCATATGAGGTTTTGAACAAGAGAAAGATGGGTAGATTAAGGAAAGAATAAAAGATAATCTGGCCCTGGTAAGGCGAATATAGAGAGAAGACACTGAGCCGACTTCAGTGAGGAAGCTGTTGCTGTCATCCAGGTCTAGAGCAGTGGTAATGGGACCAGAACGGACACGCCCAAAAGACATTTAGTGGGAACGTCTAAAAAAAAATCTTAATTTTTCCAACCCCATGTCAAAAAATTGGGAAATAGGAGAGATGAGTCAAAATGACTCGCAGGTAGTTTGCATGGCTGACGTCAGAGTAGAGAAGGATAGAATACTTGTCAGCAATTCAACATGTATCCTGTCTATTGCCAAATGTCACCCTGCAGTGAGGCAAGCTGCAGCCCTGAGGATGGTTACTACCCAGTAGCTTCCTAAGCTGCACCACCCAGCTTCTCAATGGTGTGAGTGGAAACCAGATTAGTCGTTTCTCCACTTGATTATATTTTTTCTTTAAAAATATAGTGATCAGAACATAGAGCAAACAGCTCCTAACCACTTTAGTGTAGTGATCACACAAGTTAGAGCAGGACTTACTAGACACCGGGGTGGTCATCTTTTATTCATCCTTTATGGTTCAGTCTCTGTTCAATCAAAACCTGGCCTCCTCCCCTCTCTGTACTGACAGACCTGGAAGGAGAAGGGAATGGGATGCACAGCAGAGTGGAGAAGGTCTCCAGATGATTCTGGTGCCACCCACGGTCTTTTCCCCACCCCCAAACACACACAGAGCACAGCACACGTCACTTTCTAACTTATTCTGCACTTTCCTAGTCACGGGTCTATCAGTGAGACTTGCACACAGCCAAGGCAGGTGACTGGGCTTTGTGCCAGAACACCAAAATTTAGATGGTGCAGAAAAGTATTAATACTGGTTTTCAAGGATGATGTGACTTTAAATTTTGTTAGATTTACATGTTGACATCCCAGGCATTGCCTCAGCAGTGTAGAAACAACTGAGCTTAGCACCTAGTTAACAAGAATAATTAGTTAAAACGGGAAGCTAGCAGATGGTGTACATTGTTAATAACACCCCTCTGTGTGCCAAATCTGAAGCACAAAGTTGATCGAGGGCCCATTTAGTGCTACTTGCCCAAGGCATCAAAATTGCCGATTCTAGGATAATGCAAAGTTTGGTTTCAGGGTGGCTTAGTACTGAAAACCCTTGTTGGCAGATTCTGCTTAGTCGTTCATTACTCTAGCACATACTTTCACTACATATGGCTTATTAAGAAGGTGAGATGTTGCCTTTCTTGGCTTTCCCATTTTAAATCTCATTTATGCCTCTAGGTCAAGGGGGTGGGGAGAGAGAAAGGAAATGACATCATAACCAAGTGTGGAACTGCTCTAAATTCAGGCTTGTGTCTTCTCCCATCATGGCTCTCCTGGACAGCCAGCTTCATAATGACTCTGACTCACTTTTAGAGGTCTCTTATGAATTAGCTCTGTGCTACAAAGTAGGAGACTGACCTTAGTTCTGCCACCACTAACCAGTGTATACTCTGAGCAAATCATTTCACCTCTCCCAAACACAAAAGGAGCAGGCCTCCTGCTCTTAGCTGACCCCAGTGTGGCGTCACTGAGCTATATGACCTTGAGAAATTAACTTCCCTGAATCTCAGTTTCATCATTACCATGAGGATGTTGGACTAGATGATCTCAAAACCTCTCCCCAATGGCAACCTTCTATAGGTCTATTTTAAATGGTTGTAGTGGCCAAGGGAGTGATGCCTTCTGATAGTTGTCGAAAACTCAGCTCACAAAAAAGCAGATGAATTAAACAAAAGGCATACAAATTTATTTAATGAGCATATACAGGACCCTTCAGAATTAAGTCTCAAAGATATAGGAGAAATTGTCGAATTTCATGTGTATGTTCTACAAAGTACAGACAGCCATGTAGAAGTATATTTGAACAAAAAGGGTATAATCTAATGCTAATAGGCTGAGTGGGGAAACCCAGCAAGGCCTGTCTGTCTAGAGTCTTCTTGGCCTGACCACATACCCTCCTTCTGGGTGTGGGGCAGTACCTTCTCTGGAATGGGGGTCTTATGACCTTATAGTCACAAGGTAGGTCAAATAATTTCTTAATGACCAGTACCTACACAGAAAGGCAGAGAGAAAATTAGAGCACTATTTTTAGGTTTTATGGCTGGCTATGGGGAAAAGGGTTTCTAGTTTCTCTGGCCTGCCTTGGGGAGGAGGGATTCTAGTTTCTATGACTTGCCAAGGGAAAGAATAGGACCAAGAGACAGGAGGACAGGAGGTCAGAGAAAAACTTCTGCTCCTGAGGCTGTTTCATTTGAGATTACTGTTGTTCTACAAAGAATAGACAGCCGTGTAAAAATATGATTGGACAAAAAGGGTATGCTCTAATGCTAATATAGACTGAGTAGGGAAACCTAGTTTCTCCATTCAGATAGTGTGGAAAGGTTGACTTTGAGATAATGGTAGCCCATTCAGGAGAATTAGACAGTAAGCACTTGGAGAAATGGGCTGGAGCTGTGTGGAAAGAGGCAGGGGTCTAGAAATAGATTTTGAAATGAGAGTTGAAACCGTAAGAATGAAGGAGCTCCCCAAAGGGTAAGTGTAAAGAAAAGAGCAGAAGGTGAGAGACAGCCTTAGTAGAAGAGGCAGAAAATTCTGCAAAAGAATAAGATAACCTTAAATGGTTAGCAGCTGAGCTTAGGCTAGCTTTGGAGAGAAAATGTTTTTTAAAAAACGAGATGCCATTTTGATGATGGTTCTTAAGAAGGAAGTTTTTATCCGCATGGATAGATGTACCTCCCTCACTTACTGGACCTTACTCCTCTCTCTAGGCTGTGAAGCTTCATGGAGGTATTGACATCCTTGTCTCCAATGCTGCTGTCAACCCTTTCTTTGGAAGTCTAATGGATGTCACCGAGGAGGTGTGGGACAAGGTGAGAGGGGATTAAAACAGCAGGGATGGGCTTCAGAAAACATTCAGCACAAACTCCGTCTGCTTTTAGAATGCATTTGTCAAGTGCAGTGTAAATGTGAGGAATCTGCAATGTGCCACACACCTGGAGTGCACCTGCTAAAGGGCAGGTGGGGGTGGCTTCCTCTATCCCTGCCCTTCTCTTTCATTTCTGCTGCTCCCAGTTCTGTCTTCTTCCATCTGCTCTTTGTTAGCCGCCTTCTGCTTCCCTCCCCAGCCCTCTCCCCCAGCATGCTCTTCTTGCTGGTTGATTTCCAGCAGAGACATGGCAGCCAATATGCCAACAACTAAGACACTTAAACTTACACACCCGCCTGTCCCCCTTTCAGCTGCCAAAAAAGACGATTTTTTTTTTTTTGAGTTGGAGTCTCACTCTGTGTCACCCAGACTGGAGTGCAGTGGCACACTCCCGGCCACCGCAGCCTTGACCTGCTGGGCTCCGGCGATCCTTCCGCCTCAGCCTTCCAAGTAGCTGGAACTACAGGTGTGCGCTACCACACCTGGCTAATTTTTTGATTCATTGTAGAGATTAGGTCTCGCCAAGTTGCCCAGGCAGGTCTTGAACTTGCAGGCTCAGGCAATCCACTCACCTCAGCCTCCCAAAGCGCTGGGATTAGAGGCTGAGCCACCGAACCCAGCTGATTTTTTATTAGTTGGGAAATGTTAATAGCTGCTAGTTAAGTAAAATACCAATTCTGGTGAAATGACCATAGTTCCTGCTTTATAATATACAGCCTTGGAAAAAGACCTATATTCTTTTCTTTTTAACTGCAGTGTCAGGAAAATATGAGATCCAGATGTCTAAATTCAAGTGCTGGAATAATGATTTTTACATGAAAGCATATAATTACATTATATCCATAATATATTTCCCACACCCTACATTCTTTCATTATAAAGCCTATATTAAAATATTTGTCTTTGTTTACTAAGGTTAATATTCCCACATGATTTGGAAATGTTGATTTTATGATCTCCCTTGGTTTTGCTTTTTGCTCTGATGCTGTCAATAATTTCTCAACACTAAAGTTTAAGGATATAAAAATATAATTTGTTTACCAGCATTTCATATACATAAAGACCAAAGTGCCAAAATGTTCTTTAGTGGGCCAGTTCCTGATTCTGATATTTTTTAAAACAGTGGCACATCTTTCATGAACAGTCTGAATAGAGACCACAGGAAAAATCAGTTTTAAACTAAATACAGGCATACCTCAGAGATATTGAGGATTTGGTTCCAGACCACCACAATAAAGTGAATAAGTGAATATTGTAATAAAGCAAGTCTTATGAATTGTTTGGTTTCCTACTGCCTATAAAATTGTTTACATGATGCTGTAGCTTATTAAGTGTGCAGTAGCATTATGCCTAATATATATATATAATATAATAGATGTGATATACACATAATGTAATTTTAAAATTTTTTTTAGTAAAAGTCTCTCTGTCACCTCCCCCCTAGATTAGAGTGCAGTGGCATGATCACGGCCCATCACAGCCTCAAACTCCTGGGCTCAAGCAGCAGCCTCTCTCCTCAGCCTCCTGAGTTGCTGGGACCACAGGTATGCACCACCATTCCCTGCTAATTTTTTAGATTTTTTTGTAGATAAAAGATCTTCCTATGTTACCCAGGCTGGTCTCGAACTCCTGGGTTCAACTCAAGTGATGCTCCCACCTCAGTCTCTCAAAATGCTGGGATTAGTACAGGCATCAGCTATAATCTGACTTTGGGAGGACAAGACAAGAAGATCACTTAAACCCAGGAGTTCGAGACCAGCCTGAGCAACATAATGAGACCTTGTCTCTATAAAAAAATTTTTTTAAATGAGCCATGCCTGTAGTCCCAGCTACTTGGGAGCTTGAGGCAGAAGAATCGTCTGGGATCAGGAGGATGAGGCTGTAGTGAGCCGTGACTGTGTCACTGCACTCCAACCTGGGCAAGAGAGTGAGACTCTGACTCATAAATAAATATATAAATAATGTATTGCAGAAAATGCTAACAATCTTCTGAACCTCCAGCAAGTTATAGTCTTTTTGCTGGTGGAGGGTCTTGTCTCAGTGTTGATGGCAGTTGACTGATCAGGGTGGTGGTTGCTGAAGTTTGTGGTGTCTGTGGCAATTTCTTCAAATACAACAATAATGAAACTTGCTGCATCAATTGACTCTTCTTTTCACTGAAAAATTTCTCTGTAGCATGCTATGCTATTTGATAGTGTTCAACCACAATAGAACTTTCAAAATTGGAGTCAATCCTCTCAAACCTTGCCGTTGCTTTATCAACTAAGCTTATGTAATATTTTAAATCCTTTGATGTCATTTCAACCGTGTTCATGGCATCTTCACCAGGAGTAGATTTCATCCCATGAAACCACTTTCTTTGCTCATCCCAAAGAAAGAACTCCTCAGTCATTGGCATTTTATCATAAGATTGCAGCAATTCAGTCACATCTTCAGGCTTCACTCCTAGTTCTAGTTCTCTTGCTATTTCTGTCACGTCTTCAGTTACTTTACTTTCTCTATTGAAGTCTTGAATACCCCACCCCTTGCAAGCCATCCATGAGGGTTGGAATAAACTACTTTCAAAATTCTCTTAATGTTAATATTTTTACCTCCTCTCATGAATCACAGATCTTAATGGCAACTAGAGGGGACTCTTTTCCAGAAGGTTTTCAATGGACTGTGCCCAAATTCATCAGAGAAATGATTATCTATGGCAGCTATAGCCTTGTAAAATGTATTTCTTAAATAATAAAATTTGCAAGTCAAAATTACTCCTTGATCCATGGACTACAGACTGGATGTTGTGGTCACAGGCATGAAAGCAACATTAATCTTTTTATACACCTCTATCAGAGCTCTTCTGTAACTAAGTGCATTGTCAATGAGCAGTAATATTTTGAAAAGCATTTTTTTCTGAGCTGTAGTTCTCAACAGTGAGCTTAAAATATTCAGCACACCAGGCTATAAACAGATGTGCTGTCATCCAGGCTTTGTTGTTCCATTTATAGAGCACAGGTAGAGAAGATTTAGCATAATTCTTAAGGGTTCTAGAATTTTCAGAATGGTAAATAAGCATTGGCTTCAACTCTAAGTCACTAATTGCATTAGCCCCCAACAAGAGAATCAGCCTCTCTTTCGAAGTTTTGAAGCCAGTCCTTGACTTCTCCTCTCTAGCTATGAAAATCCTACATGGCATCTTCTTGCAATAGTAGGCTGTTTCATCTACATTGAAAATCTGTTGTTTAGTGTAGTCACCTGCATCAATTATTAGCTAGATTTTCTGGATAATTTGCTGCAGCTTCTACATCAGCACTTGCTGCTTCACCTTTAACTTTACTGTTATGGAGATGTCTTCTTTCCTTGAACCTCATGAAGCAACCTCTGCCAGCTTCCAACTTTTCTTCTGCAGTTTCCTCACCTCTCTCAGCCTTCACCGAATAAGGAGAATTAGGGCCTTGCCCTGAATTAGCTTAAGGGAATGTTTCAGCTGGTTTGATTTTCTATCCAGACTACTCAAACTTTCTTTCAAACAATAAGGCTATTTAACTTTCTTATCATTCATGTGTTCACCAGTGTAGCACTTTTAATTTCCTTCAAGAACTTTCTTTTAAGGGATTGGCAGTAGTGGGAAACTTCCAGGGGAGGGAGGGGCACACCTCATCAACAAGGGTACCTGCATAATGAACATTTGTATACCTAACCCTGAATTGTACCCCTCATCTTTAAAATAAAATAAAGAACTTCCTCTTGCAACCACAACTTGGCTAACTGTTTGGTTCAAGAGACCTAGCTTTCCATCTATTTTGGCTTTCAATGTGTCTTCCTCACTAAGCTTAATCATTTCTAGCTTTCAATTTAAAGTGAGATACAAGCCGGGCTCAGTGGCTCAGCCTGTAATCCCACGCTTTGGGAGCCTGAGGTGAGGGGATTGCCTGAGGCCGCAGGTTCGAGACCTGCCTGGGCAACTTGGCGAGACCTCATCTCTACAATAAAAATCAAAAAATCAGCCAGGCATGGTAGTGTGTGCCTGTAATTCCGGCTACTCGGAAGGCTGAGGCGGAAGGATCACCGGAGCCCAGCAGGTCGAGCCTGCAGTGGCCGGGAGCAGCCACTGCACTCCAGTCTGGGCAACAGAGTGAGACTCCAACTCAAAAAAAAATAAAAAATAAAGTGAGATACATGTGACTCTTCCTTTCACTTGAACATTTCAAGGCCACCATAGAGTTGTAAATTGACCTAATTTCAATATTGTTGTATCTCAGAGAACAGGAAGGTCCAAGGAGAGAGAGACAGAAGATTGGTGGAGCAGTCAGAACACACACCACATTTATCAATTAAGTTTACCATCCTATATGGGCACGGTTTGTGGTGTCCCAAAACAATTACAATAAAGACAACAAAGATCACTGATCATAGGTCACCATAACAGATACGGTAATAATGAAAAAGTTGGAAATATTGTGAGAATTACCAAAATGCAATTACCCAGAGATATGGAGTGAGCACATGCTGCTGGAAAAACAGCTCTGATAGACTTTGTAGATGCAGAGTTGCCCCAAAGCTCCAATTTACAAAACATGGTATCCACAAAATGCAATAAAATGAGTGTGCCTGTAATTTTTCTTTTTAGCTTACATTTTTAAAAAATATCATAGTACATCAAATCTAAATGTAAATGTGCATGTAAAAAAATTGGGGGGATGATTGGGGAAATTTTATGGACAATATATTAGATAAAACTATCATCAATGTTAAACTTTTTGGGTGTGATAATGGATATGGCTGTGTAAAAGAACATCCTTATTCTTTGGAAATGTATGCTAAAGTATTTAAGAATAGAACATTGTGATGTCTGCAATTTACTTTCAATGATTCGTTTTTTAAAAAACTGTGTAGGCTAGGCACGGTGGCTCACGCCTATAATCCCAATACTTTGGGAAGCCAAGAAGGGAGGGTAACTTGAGGCCAGAAATTTGAGATTGGGCAACATAGAAAGACCCCATCTCAACAAAAACGTTTTTAAAAAATTAGCTGGGTATGGTGGTATGCATCTATAGTCCCAGCTACTCAGGAGGCTGAGCAGGATTGTTTGAACCCAGAAGTTCAAGGCTGCAACGAGCTATGATTGTGCCACTGCACTCCAGCCTGGGCAGCAGAGCAAGACCCTGTCTCTAAAACAAAACAAGACCAGGCTCGGTTGCTCAGCCTGCAATCCCAGCACTTTGGGAGGCCAAGGTGAGTGGATTGTCTGAGCCCACAGGCTCGAGACCAACCTGAGCAACTTGGCAAGATCTCATCTCTACAATAAATAAATTTTAAAAATTACCCAGGCGTGGTAGCACGTGCCTGCAATTTTGGCTACTTAGAAGGCTGAGATGGAAGGATGGTCGGAACCCAGCAGGTGGATGCTGGGGTGGCCATGAGTGCATGGCCAGCCTGCATGATGGAGTGAGACTCGAATTCAAAACAAAACAAAACTGTATAGATACATAGAGAAGGCAAATGGGGCAAAGTGGGAATAATTGGTGAATCTAGGTGAGGGATATCTAGATATCTATTGTACTTCTATTTCAACTTTTCTGTAAGATTAAAATTTTTTAAAATAAGAATTTGCCTAGAATGGTGTAAACAGGTATCATACATTTGTTTTAAATTATGGATGTGGGGATTTTGGTTGTAGCCTATACTCCAGCATCCCTAGAAAGTGCCTCCTTATGATCCCACTGTCCAATATGTCTAGCCAGATAATCCATCCCGGAGGGCCAAGAGCATCTCATTCCTTAAGCTCAGAAGCCAGAAAAGTGCTGGAACAACTCCAGGTGCCTAAGATAGGCCACATTTTCTCTCAGAGGCATGGGCCACTAAGACAGCCCCAAGAGTGTCAGGCTCTACCTACTTGGAAGAAACATAGAAAACCTAGCTCTACCTACTTGGAAGAAACATAGTACAGGCTCTACCTACTTGGAAGAAACATAGAAAACCTAGCTCAAATCTATCCAAGACAGCCCTGAGGATTTAGGTCCATTCTGAGCCAAACCATCCTTGACTGGTTAGGAAACAAAAAGAGCCAGACTCCAGTTTTTTTCTCACTTGAACCTAATGTGTCATTACCTAGCTGAATAGCTGGTGAGAACTACTTCTACCTAAACCTCAGTTTCTCCACATATAAGGTCCAGGTAAATCATCCCAAAGATCTCCATCAGCTCTAACAAACAGATCCTAGGAACCCACTATAATTCTTGCTGTGCCTTTTCCAATGCTTTTTTCTCTTCTTTTCTCGACTACAGGTTCTGAACATTAATGTGAAGGCCACAGCCCTGATGACAACGGCAGTGGTGCCAGAAATGGAGAAACGAGGGTACAGAGAGTGAGAGAGAGCCTGGGTGAGATGGGGCCCACATGGGCTGAGGGCAGTGGTCTCCACTGGGAAGAGGGTCAACTCTCTTCTTTTTCCAGAGGTGGCTCAGTGGTGATTGTGGCCTCCGTAGCAGCCTTCGTTCCATTCCCTGTAAGAACGCTTTTGTCTGCCACTTCCATCCCATCCTCTGTCTTATACCTTTCTACCCCTCCAGTTACCCAAAGAAGTTTATATCCCCTTTTAGAATAAAACCACCAAGTCCCTTCCCACAAAATAGATGTCTTACTTCCACGAACCCTAAGCAAGGGGAGGTTTAGCCATAGGACACTCTCCTAACTGTGACCTGTCCTTACAAGAGTTACCCTATTGGCCATTGCCCTTTGTGTCTAATAGTAAGAACCAAGAATGACCTGGAAACTATGAGTCTAATCCATTCTCTTCTTTCCCTAGGCCCTGGGCCCTTACAATGTTAGTAAAACAGCTTTGCTGGGCCTCACCAAGAACCTGGCCATAGAGCTGGCCCCAAGGAACATTAGGGTGAACTGCCTGGCACCTGGACTTATCAAGACTAACTTCAGCAGAGTGGTAAGAAAGGGGAGCCAGGCATCCTGCTGGGACCCCCTGAAGGGTATCCATCTTCTTGAATAGGGAAGCCCAGTACCTGAGTCCTAAGCTCTCAACCACTCCATCCTCCTCCCTGGACTCTTCCATATTCCATTTCTGGACCAGCTGCCCTACCTAGGTCACACTCCTGTCCTGAGGTGTAGGCTGGAGACTGAGGAATTCAGACTCTATTCACAATGTTTCCTCTCTCCTTAAGGGTGGAAAATTGGGGAGATGCAGTGAAATGCATCACTAGAACCTTAAATGAATGAAACAGAAGAGGGCAGTGGGGAGAGCTGGGAGCTAGGAGAAAATAGGGAGTGAAGGGGGGAGTCTCCATCCTTCCTCTCAGTTGCTGTGAGGATGGGCAATTTCTTCCCTTTCTGTCCCTCAGTTTCCTCTTCTTGCACATGAAGCCATTTCTCTTTTTCCTGCAGCTGTGGATGGACAAGGAAAGAGAGGAAAGCATAAAAGAAACCATACGAATAAGAAGGTAAAGCTGTCATAGAAGAGAAGTCGAAGGGATGAAGACGGAAAGGTCTGGTCTCTGACAGTCACAGCTTGCTATCTCAATCCCACAGATAACACGGGCATGCTCCTTTGCCTCACAGACTTCACAAGTTCATAAACTTGTGGAGTCTGCTTCCACTGCAATAGGCAAATACAGAGGCATCGTGGTTTCAGCAGGGCAGAGCTCTGGGAGAAGCCCTGACTCCTCTCCAACCTGGGAGTTTGCCTCCACCTCTGGGCATCCATGAAGTTCAGGGACCAAAACCAAAGCCATGCCTTTTTAGCTTCCCTTGACTAAAGAGTCTTGTTTACAAAGATCAGGCTGATGATCCTACAGTCCAAACAAAAGGCATGAAGAGCTTTACTAAGCCCCAAACTTCCCTTGCCTAAGGAAAGGACTAACTTCCCCAATGAGTTGACCGAACCTTTGTTGGGCTCCCTTTCCTCTGAGTTCCTGTTTCTCTACCTTTCGACTTCTGGACATTTTCTTGTTTTTAGCTCCTCACGGACACAAGCCAGCAATGCCTAACTCTTTACTGGTCCTGACATCCCAGACTCCCTCAAGTCCTCCCAAAGTCATTGTAATATCAGGCATGAGTTGCAGGCCTAGTTCACAACTCATTAATAAATCGGGATACTGTCATCCTAGAGCCCCAGTGAATGCTCTAGCCCCCTGTATCTCAATCCCAGATGCACATTAGAATCACATAGGGAAGTTTTTAAACTGCAGATCCTCAGGCCCCTCTCCCAGAGACTCTTCTTTAATTGGTCCAAGGTGGGACCTGGGCACCTTTTGTTGTTGTTATTGTTGTTGTTGTTGTTGTTTTGAGTTGGAGTCTCACTCTGTCACCCAGACTGGAGTGCAGTGGCCGCTCCCGGCCACTGCAACCTCAACCTGCTGGGCTCCGGCGATCCTTCCGCCTCAGCCTTCCAAGTAGCCGGAATTACAGGCATGCGCTACCACGCCCGGCTGATTTTTTGATTTACTGTAGAGATGAGGTCTTGCTGCCCAGGTGGGTCTCGAACCCACGGGCTCAGGCAATCCACTCACCTCAGTGTTGTTGTTGTTAAGCCTCTCAAATGATTGCAAGGTGCAGCAAGAATGGAGAACCGCTAAGTCAGTCCTTCTAGGTTCGAGTTACTCTACCCATCTCTAGAGCATTCTGCGGCAGTCAGATCAAAGTCTGTAACTGTGTAATCACTGATAAGTGAGAATTCGCACATTCCCACAAAATGAACCTGACTTTAAGGGAAAAATATAGATTCCTGAAAAAGTGAACTGAACCTGTACAAATGGGATCACTTTAAATGCTCCATTTTCTGTCACATAAACTCCCTGACTCCTGAGTAGTATGCACATATGTGAAACAAATTTTTTTGAAGTAGGAAATAATTGCTTGCCACTTTATCTATATAACTTTGGATTCTGGTGTCCTGAGCACTCTAAAAAACAATGTGTTTCTATAGTATTTGAATATGATGTGTAATGGATTTTGCAGAGTACAGTATGCTTATACTAAATTATAACAGCTTATCCTCATGGTAACCCTATTTGATAGGCAGGAGGCTTGTACACTGGCTCTGAAAAAAAATCATCTGATAATTCTTAATTAAACAGATTTCATTCCCTGTGAGCCAGGTGAGGAGACCTGGCCTGTTTGATTTTTACTCCCTTACTCTGTTCTGCAGGATAGGCACGCCGGAAGACTGTGCAGGCATTGTGTCTTTCATGTGCTCTGAAGATGCCAGCTACATCACTGGGGAGACAGTGGTGGTGGCTGGAGGAATCCCATCCCGCCTCTGAGGACCTGGAGACAACTGACAAGGCAGAGGTGGCTCCAGTTCCTGCATTCATCCACTGGCCTTTCCCACCTCTGCCCACCACGCTGCTCACCTTAAAAATCAGTTCTGCTTTGTGACAAGATCCATCCTTCCCTTTGGTCAAGGTGGGGTCTTATGAGGATTCCCACTGTTGCCGTGGCCTTAGATAAGGCTTTGTCTGAGAACACAGGGCAGGCCTGCTGAGAAAGCTGAGTCCACCTTGGCAAAGGCCGACAAGTTTTTTTGGTTTTTTTTTTCTGGGCCTCTGGGGAATTTGAGAGATGGGAGAGAAGGAACCTGGAGGGGAAGGAGCAGAGTTGGAAATTAACTTGCAAATGAGGTGCAAATAAAATACAGATGATAGCATTGCTTTGAATCTAGACGTGTTCATTTCTCAGTGTAGGGTACTTAGCTGAGCAGAGTGCAGAAGTCTGGGCAGGCTGGATCTCTGGATCCCCGAGCCCTCCTCTGTCTCCAGGACCTGAGCCTGACGCTAAGGGGTGGAGGTGTCTGCAGAGCTGCTAGCTGGGAGGAGGTGGCAAGGAAACTCCCAGGTGCTACTCTCAGCCTCACGCCCCCAGGAATGGCGCCAAGGACACTCCAGGGATCCCCAAGACTGGGCAAGCGAGCTAAAGAGGAGAATTCCCCCAGATCCAGACAGGTCCTCTCCCAGAATCGCCCTCGGTCTCGAGTTCCCTCCTGGGTCAGCAAGGACAAGCTGGACAGGTTCCGAGCCGACGGTGGAAAGGGAGGGGCCGTGCGAGGTTGACATGGGGAGACGTACCCAGACCCACAAACAAAAGAAAAGGGCTTTATCCACGGTGCCTGAGGAGTGAGTGGCACGCAAAGCAGGGACGCAGCCCTCCGCCCCCGAGATGGCCCGGACACCAAGCAACGTGCACCGAGCCCGCGACGCGGGA